ACACTTTTCTAGCGATGAAGAGCTAAAAAAATCCATGGTCAAAAACAGAAATTATTTTTTTCGGACTCTAAGCACTGGATTAACACACTCRACAAAAGAAATTCATTTTTAGCGTATTGCGTTGAAAGTCTACATCGGTTTTTGTAAAATAGTTTTTTAGATAAATGTTTTGAGATACTGAATTGTGGCTTTTGAAATTCAAATTACGTATGGTCGAGCTTTGTAGTCAATATTACTGAATTGCTAAGGATTGTGAGGTAGTTCGTCTGGTGGCAGCGCAASGGAGATTATCAATARCCGAAATCTTGTGGAATTTCTTCACCAAAAATCCTCGTAATGTCAGCGAATGAGATTTCTGTTCCTCAAGACCAGTCCACAAGGTATTGTAGAATATCTTTAATCCTATTTACACAGTAAATAKTACATGTATTCTGTTTCCTGTAAAGGCAAATTGAAGTCTTTATATTCGAGAGGAATTAGACGAAACAGAGTGAAAAAATTCGTTCAAATGTCGCCACAAAAAAATCAGTTGTAAGGCAAAACCAATACTTTATAAATAAATTGTCTAATTTAACCATTGTCGACTGTAGAGCAGCGTGTTGCTTTTTGCTGCAATTAGTGGCACTTTACCGCCAATGTAATGTTTTTCCCGAGATTATATATGTTTTATTTAAAATTTCTGCCCMAAAASTRCGAGCCTACATCAGTAATTTTACATTAGAAATCAGGTTATGGACCGCTCACTGCGTAAAAACAATTTACAGTGAAACGATAAATCTACACTTKAAAGAGACTGAATTTGAAAGATGCGGAATTACTTCGGACTTCTTTGTTTTTGCTTTAATCCTCGGAAGATTATGATCGRTAAATCCTCCTAAAATTACATTATCACACAAAAAGACAAAAAACGTTAATGTTCTTGAATAGCATTCTAGTCATTGTCATTTAACCTAGATTCATTTCTCACTTTGAGTGGTAAATTTGCGCTCATTTAAATAAAATGCTTTTCTACCGATWTTCTGAAAGTAATTTCAATAAGCGCGCTCTATCTTGTTAGACRSWACCTAATGYRGTCTCAGACTCGGYCATTGTCATGCAATATTGAACAGGAATTCYTCTTTCCTATGGGCTTTAAGTCATGCATAATTTTATCGAGTTACTCAKGTCAGTCTACACAACGACACCTCTATCCATGACGAGGACTGTAGGGTCTCTATAGTAAGATAAGCTTAGTAAGATGTCTTAATTGTAAAAAGTTAAAGAACCCTAAGACGTCTTTATGCTAAGCATAGCTGTCACTGTGGTATATTATGGTCTAGCGTACGTCTCCATACTCTTGCTCTATGAATAATTAATCAATCAATCAACCAATCTGTCAATCAATGACACACTCAATCAATCAATCAATCAACCAATCCGTCAATCCATCCATCAATCAATCCATCAATCCATCCATCAATCAATCAATCAATCAATCTTTCTTTCACTGACACACTCAATCAATCAATCAATCAAAAAAACCAGTAAAACAAACAAACAACCAAAAACACAACTAATCAATCAATCAATTTATAATCGACTTGTCAATCAG